TTATGGAATGTGCAGGGAAAACTCTTAAGTTAGTCTCCTAATTATCGACTAATTCTCAGTTATATTCCTCGATTAAGAAATCATCTTAATTTAATCCTTCACCTATTATAATTTCTCGTTTGAGTCCCCTATATATATATATATGAGTATTCAGAATAAATAGATAATCGGAGGACTTAAGTATTCTTCAAATTAAAATACATTTTTTTCGGGGTAGAGTTTTAGAATGAAAGAGTTAACTCATTGTTTTGAATTCATCACTACAACTTAAATAGGTTGGAATTAATAATCACTTGGATTAAAATTAGAGTTAAAAATATTCAAATATAAATGATTGAGAAATTGAGGGAGAGAAAGAGAAAAGAAACAAAGATTTAATACTGGTTCGTAATCTCTATATAGACTAGGGACTGATTTGTAGTTATCCCATTCCTGAACAAGCTTTTAACAAAAAGTGTCGAGCCATCTAGGGTTGAGAAACTCGAAGGAGGGCTTTCTGGTCCCAAAACCTCCCCGTAAGCCCCCCCGGCCAGCCGCGTACCCTGTCTACTGACGTGGCATTAGCTGGTAGCTTGGAGGCACGTGGATTGGCTCCCACGTTGTCGGCTTGTCCCTTGAATCAGACAACATTTTACCTTCCCTAATCTTTGGATTTCCCATCCTAATTAATTTTCATTTCACTTAATTAATCCCCTGCCTTCCATTTCCAACTGTGCAATTAGCTTTCTTTTTTTTTAATTTTTTTAATTTCCAGTACCAATGTAATATTTTTCCAGCAAAGCTGTTTCACTACAACAGATGATATTATAAACCTTTAAATTAGTGGGATTTATTAAGAATCTTTCTCAAATTATCGTGTGTTTGGATGGCCAGTAATTTTTTTGCAATTTAATAACTTTAATTTTTCTTGTGAACTCTCCATTTTTTCTGACTAATTATAATTTCTAATTTTTCTGTTTTCACTGTATTTAGATTTAAAATAAATAAAAACAACAACATAATCTGTGTCATTTTAACACTTCATAACTTATATTTCATTTTTTGTGCGTTTGTAGTTTAAAAAAATATTAAATTTATATTTTTTGATATTTTTTAATAGTTTTAATGTGTTGATGTCAAATATAAAAAAATTATTTTAATATATTTTTAAAAAACCTGAAAATAACATAACTAATGAGAATCCGAAATTTACTATTACTAATCAATCAGAAAAAAATACAATTAATAACAACATGAAGGATTAAATAGAAGAAATGCAAAATAACACAGAGCAGACACGTGGCAAACCAGTAATGAAAGATTCCCTGTTGAGGACTTTTTATGTAGATAATCGAAGGTTTTTATTTATTTATTTATTTATTTTATTTTTTTTCCTGCTGCTGCACTTGAATGGGTTAAATTTTCCTGTTCGCAGACATACTTAAGATACTTTCTGCGGTGATGCGTTTATAGCGTTGCTAGTATATTAACAAACCTCGATTTAAAATAAATAAAAACAACAACATAATCTGTGTCATTTTAACACTTCATAACTTATATTTCATTTTTTGTGCGTTTGTAGTTTAAAAAAATATTAAATTTATATTTTTTGATATTTTTTAATAGTTTTAATGTGTTGATGTCAAATATAAAAAAATTATTTTAATATATTTTTAAAAACCTGGAAATAACATAACTAATGAGAATCCGAAATTTACTATTACTAATCAATCAGAAAAAAATACAATTAATAACAACATGAAGGATTAAATAGAAGAAATGCAAAATAACACAGAGCAGACACGTGGCAAACCAGTAATGAAAGATTCCCTGTTGAGGACTTTTTATGTAGATAATCGAAGGTTTTTATTTATTTATTTATTTATTTTATTTTTTTTCCTGCTGCTGCACTTGAATGAGTTAAATTTTTCCTGTTCGCAGACATAATTAAGATACTTTCTGCGGTGATGCGTTTATAGCGTTGCTAATATATTAACAAACCTCTGCTCACACTTTGCTTTGTCAGTAATTATATTCAATCCTTGAATCATATTAATATTAAAATGAATTGTCAGAATATATATAATTATATGCATGCATGTATGTATGCATGCATGCATGTATGTATCAACAGTTTTAGTGTGAAAAATACATACCTGAAAATATCTCTAATCATAAAAAAAATTATTTATAGTATGGTGTCACAAAGCAGTGATGGAGCAAAAGAAAGTCATTAATGTATACCTTCCAAAGATTGTTGGTTCTTGCAATAAGAAGAGAAATTATTTAATTAATTAAGTTTTGTTATTAATGTATTTATGTCTAATTAGTAAATGTGTAAATATAACCCAAACTTTATGATTTATTTAGAATCAAATCGCATGTTGATTTCAATGTATAAACATATTTGAATTTAATTAATAATCTATTATAATTTTTATGTTAATAATAAAATACTAAACTTCTCAGTTAAATTCAATTATATTGTTTGAAATATATTTTGAAATAAATCGAATTAACAATCTTAACTATTTTTTAATTTAAAAATCTTTTTTGTTACATTAATTTTTTTTGTTTTTACTAGTACCCTTATATTTATTTAAAATGACATGAATTATAGACATTTTAATGAAGATATAAATAGACCTATATTATATTAATTGTTTATTAAATATTTGTTGAAAATATATATGTGTTGAAAAAACTTCCCCATTAAAATCTTTTCCTTGGAATGTTAAGAAAAAAATTCTAGAAATATCCCAATAAAAATTCTTGTTTTTTTCTCAAATCAAAATTAAATAAAATAAATATCAAATCAACACAAATTACATATTCAAATAGACAAATCAATGATTAAAATAATTTTAATAATGTTAATAATTCAAAAAGATACCGAAGTTAGAGCTCTAATAATTCAAAAGACATCACCACAAAATAAGAAGTTTCAACTTCAAAATAAATTTATAAAAAATACATAAATAAGTTTGTGGTAATTATATAAATATTACTTCTAACTTTCATAAATATTACATATTATGTATTTCCAATCTATTTTCTTTATTTTTTTTTGTCAATTATTCAAACGTGACTCCTTTCAGTATTTCAACAAGATTAAGATGATTTACAAGTCATTTAACATTTTCAAAAATATTTAATATCACTAATATTTTCTTATTGCTTCAATTATCCCTGCCGACCAGCTTTTAAACTTGATGGTTTGTGTTGATAATATATTTTGCAATATTATTCATTGCACTTAGTCATTTCTTTAAACTCCAAAGTAAAATCATTTGTCATTGGAACTTTTCATTTTCTACTTTTTGAAGATGAAGCTCTAGACAATGATGGAGGAGTGAAGAAGGTGAAAGAAGAGACAAGAAAGAGAAGGTGGGTTATGGGATTACTTTGTATAATAAAGCAGTGGTTACTCTGCGGTGTTTGAAAGGGAAAAAAAACAGGAAGGTGTATTTAGAATATTACTTTCAATAATATATTATTATTTTAATGTCTTAATATTAAAATTTAAATTTAAAAAATAAAATATTATTTTAATACATTTTCAAACAAAAAAACACAAACCATCACTGATATAGATATACAATACAGAACGGGTTCTGAGTGTATTTATGTATTAATGTCGTAAGGATCTATGCATGCACAAGCTTGCATTTCACCGGAAATACGAAGGATACAGAAACCTAACACTGGCTCTATAATATTTTGAGAGCCTGGTTCAGCAGTCGGTGACATTGTGTCAGGTAACATCAATAATATATGTAGATTCGATTCTTCAACCCCTGGATTAGGTTGTGATTTTCTTTTGTTTTATAAAACTCTCTGTTAATGATGATGGAGGCATTTCAGAAGAATATCATCGACGAGACAGAAAAACCAGCAACTTCTATATCTATATATCAGCAACACTTTCACTTAATTAATTCAGGATTTATTAAATCTCCATTTATTTGCTAATTAAACAATCAAGTGAGTTAGAGACCAGCTCCCTGGCCAACAAAATACACAGCATGTGGAAGTGGTCCCTTTCAAGATAGCTTGGAATGATAAATATTTGGTTAAAAAAGAGTATTGCTGTGCCTTTCTTGCCATTTATCTTAAGCTTTTTCATGCAGGCAGCCCTGCTGTCCATCGATAATGCATCTGATCTTTAGGTCTCAACTTTCTAAAACAAGGGTTTGTGCCGTTTGTCCTTAAAATAGTAGACAGCACATAGGAAGAAAGGAAGGTGTATAGCCCAGTAGAGATTAGTATATGCTTTTGCTTGTAAAAAGACTCGAGCTTTAGACTTTAACCTATGCTTTTACATTAAAGCTAAGACACACCTAAGCCCAAATTAAAGTCTCGGTTTGTTCTTTAATCACGAGTCATTAAATTATCATCGTCGTCTACATCTGCAACTTTTTTCAAGAATTCTTATCTTATTTAGGCATCCATTACGATATTCCTAAGAAAATCACTACAACTTAATTAGAATCATTATAGTTTGTTACCCATTTCTTAGTTTTAATCATACATTATATACTCCTTTTTTGCTGCACAGTAACCCCAATTTAGCCAAAGGCCTCTCTCTATCTTTATCTGTAGTGATTTGGTACTCGTATATGTATGTGAGTTGAAACAAAAATCTTATTTTTTAAGATTCTCGATAAAAAAAAAGATATTCTAAAATAAATCGATTGGACTTGGAAGGATTATATTTCAATATTATTGCTGGTAAATTCACACAAGTAGCTAGATTTTGATTTTTATAACTCAATAGGCATCTATATCATAGTCTCTTTAAAAGGTCTCCTCTCGAGAAATTAAACATTAAATTACCAAGGTTATTTTTTAAGAAAAAATGTTTAATTCTTTATTGTTATGGGTGGGAATTCTTCATTTAATTTTGTGTACCAACAGAGAAAATCAGATTCTAAACAGACATGATGATCATGTCAAGAAAAATTGACAGTGTGTTGTGGACCTGTGTTGAGAGTGCTTGGCGCACTAGCAGACATATGGCCCCACGGTCATCACTTCCTCCACCACCTTCCTTCCACCCCTAGCTACATCTTACCTCCCCTTTCCCTCCTAATTCCTGTACTTCTAGTGCTGGTGCCCGGTATTTTTCTCCTTGTCTCCTATACCGTAACGCATTCTGGTTTCTTCTCTTTAAAAAAAGCACACTTCTTTAACCTTTTCTTGAATCTTGAAAATTCAAAGACTGTATCTTGATGATGGAAGGCTGTCTTGGTTTACTTGGTGGCGGTGGTTCTTCTGGGGCCTCCACGAATAAGTCCACACTGTCAAAAGTGGAGGTGGTCGAGGCTGAGGCAAGTTCATACCCAGTGGAAGCTGAGCTAGAGTTGGGTCTGGGGCTGAGTCTTGGTAGTGGTGGAGGAGGAAAGGGTAAGGCAAATGCATGGGGTGAGTGTGGTAGAATCTTGACTGCCAAGGACTTTCCTTCGGTGGTCTCTCAGCCTCAAAGGCCCAACAACAACAACCCTATGCCTTCTACCTGTGTTGTTGGTGCTGTTTCTGGGACTAAGAGAGCTGCTGACTCTGTCTCCCATGAGGGTGGATCCCCTACTGCTGGCAGGTGGCGACTCCATTCTTTTTTATCTGTTATTTTTCTTCAGATTGAATCTACTTTGTTCAGTTACTAGAAACGTTAGGTGAAATTTGCATATTTTGACAGTATTTTCTTACCTGGTGATTATATGTTGTTGTTGTTGTTGTGTCTCATAGTGCATTCTTTTTCTCTCTGGTCTAAGGGGTTTCTTTAATCTTCTTATTTTCTTACCACTCTATCGTAGAACTAAATATATATATATATATGTATGTATGTATCCATAAAGTGTCAATTTTTCTTTATCTTCTCTCTGTTGCTTGCTTTTATATTTTGTTAAGCAAGTCGTTTTATAAAGCTTGCTTCTTTTACAATACTGACACTTGATGTGTTGTATCGTCCCTTGTTTAGTTGTTTTTCCTTGTATCTGGTTGTTTGCTAGTTGATAATATTTTTTTCTTGTTTGCCTACGTTTCCTGATTTATCCATGTTCATGTCCCTTCTCCTCCTTTGACATGAAAGAAAATCTTGAATTTTGTTTTTGTTAATATACATAGCTAGCTTACAGGGAATTGATCTGTCTGTGCGAATTTTCTCACTTCCCTTCATAATTCATTAATTTCTCCTTCGATGGTTTAAGTTTCTGATTATATTAAATTTCTTCCTGGGAGCAGTCAGGTTGTGGGGTGGCCTCCTATAAGGGCTTATCGGATGAATAGCTTGGTGAGCCAAGCAAAGGCTGCGAGAGCTGAAGAAGACAAGGGAATTGGAGAGAAGGATAAATCTAAGGAGAATTTGAAGAAGAAAATCTGTAATGGTAACAAGACCACTGGTACTGGTAATGAAAAGGGGCATCTTGGATTTGTCAAGGTGAATATGGATGGAGTTCCAATTGGAAGGAAGGTAGATTTGAATGCCCATGCTTGTTATGAAACATTAGCCCAGGCATTAGAGGAAATGTTCTTCAGGTCCACCACCACTATCAATTCCATCGGTGAGACGGTGCCCTTAATTTCTCTATTTTAATTTTGAAGTCGGATAGAAGCTTGGATTTGATCTTTTATTTCCCTCCACGTATTTATTTTCATCAATTGCAATGCAAATTAAATGAGTACACAGATTCCCTGCCTACAAAAATCCTGGCGATAAACCTGGCATAATTTCCATTGCAAATGACATTAAGCACAGTATTGTACACGTTTGATTGCTTCACAAACATAAGAAAAACTAGCTCGGTTATTTATATACCAGTACCTGTACTGTATATTTTGATGTATTCTTATACTGTTTTGTTGATTTTGTATTAATTATCAGGTGGACAGAAGCAACTATCAAAGCCCTCTAAGCTATTGGATGGGTCTTCTGAGTTTGTGCTCACTTACGAAGATAAAGAGGGAGACTGGATGCTCGTGGGAGATGTTCCTTGGGGGTACGCAACTATCATTAACTGTAAATTCATATTACTAATTAGGAGAGACGAGAGGAGGCGGTGTGGTGGGTGAGCAGGCAGGTGTGTCTATGTCTTTGTTTCTTGGCGACCTTGTCAATTGAGACAATCAGTGGGGAGCAGAAAATAAGCTGTCACTCTGATTGTGAACTAAGCCTACCTCACCCCCACATATTAAGCTAAGTGGTGTGCGCTATTCCTCTACCTATACCATGTTCTGCAACATTTCGCTTTCTAGATAAATGTGGATCAAGACATTTAGTTCCGTCAGCTGAGCTTTCGCACTGATGGACCATGATTCCATCTGCTGTGATGTATTATTTCTCATCAGTCCTCAGTTGTTTAACCAGGTTGACCGATTGTATGTAGAACTCCTGAGAAAAGTATCGACCCTTCCTCTCTGAATAGGAAAAAAATTGCACTGTTCAAGCATTCAATTTCTAATGCTCTTGCGTGATTTCCTTTTCATTTTTTTCCAGGATGTTCCTTACCTCTGTAAAAAGGCTTCGAATCATGAGGACCTCAGAGGCCAATGGACTTGGTATGCAAAGTTTTCAATCAACTGTTCAGTGTTTGCTTCCTAGTTTTCCCACTTATTTTTGCTTCTTCTAACAATCTAAGACTGCTTAATTGATTGCAGCTCCAAGACTCCAGGATAGGAATGAGAAACAAAGAAGCAAGCCTGTTTAGCCGCTGCTGCCTCATCATTTTAAACTCCTGTAACATGGAGACACTCACTGCTTGAAAACAGATAGAGAAGTTGATGAATCAGAATATTTTGCTAAGATTGTTCCTTCTTTTTACTGTTTTATCGGGTTTTTGCTGAACCAGTATCTGGTTCTAGCTGGTTTTTGGTTTTTGTAGGCGATATTCATTTTAGCTTCTTCTTTTTTCATCTTATGTGGTGCTGCCAAACCGGCATCGCACACTTGACTGCTTCTCATACTGTAAATATGGGAGTACTTGATATCTAGAGTGGAGTTTGCTGAAATCTAGTGGACTCAGTTTAGTGCTTGTGTGGTTTAATGCTTGAAAGTTTTCATGTTATCGGTTGGCCATGTTTTTGACATGCTTATACTTTAATCCATTGATTGTATGCCTGCGGGTTGGCATAACTGCATTGATTAATTCTATCTTCTTGCGACTAAAACGTCCGCTTCAAGTTACTCTAAACTTCGTATAGTACCTGGTGCAGCTATGTTACTTGATAGTTGAGCCTGCAAAACGCAATTCTGATAGTTGGCAAGCCACCATCAATAGTAAATTCCACCATCACAGTTCTTCCAATTATGCAACAGATGATATTTTCTGTTCATCACGTTCTTTCAAGCACAGCAATCCTAATTAATACACTAAACCAAGAAGGGCCGATCAGTAAATTTTACCTTGTCCAAACTGTTTCAGTTTTGGCAGAAATTAAGAGAGTGGCTAAGAATAAGTGGTTGTGATTATCCACCAAAATGGAAACTTGACAAAAGAGGAAAATGGTCGAAGAAACGTGAGATTTTTTACTTAAACCTGGTCAAAGAAATTCATTATGTAAATTTAATTTTTTCTTCTGGTAAGTCTGAGATTCACGTAACCAAAACAATGCAACAACAGTAATTTCACCAGTAGATGACGTAGAGCATGTTTAATAGTAATTCAGTTGCAGTCTTTCGGTGATAATCTTCTCCTGTTTGAAGGGGAAAATATTACTCCATGATAAACCTCGCTTTGAGTCCTGTCCTTTCCTTTTGAAGAAAAAACATTACCCCGTGATGAACTTTTGGCAGGAACAAGTTGATGGGGTTATTTTCTTTGTTTTTTGAAAGAAAAAGGAGAAGACAACAGAAGGGAACTAAAAACCAAAGGACCTGGGTTCAAGTGCATATAAGCCAATAAGTGAAATCTGGGTTAGGAGATTTTGCTCCAAGAATTGAGACAAACTTGATGTCTAAGATTATGTGATCATTTTGATTTTGACTGCAGACTACTAAATTGATTAATAGTGCGATCCATTAGCTTATTGACTTTCCTTTATAACAGTAATTGATCAAGGGACAACTGTATTCTACTACTTTACATGAAAACCCTCATCAGTGAAAGGCCTCATGCTTAGTTCTTTCTTAACTTTCTTTCAACTGTTCTGAGGATTTTATTGCTGGTTCCCACAACTTGCAAAGTAAAATGAAAAGATGTCTTGTATTTATGCAGAAGACTGAATATACTTTTCTCAGCCAGGCCATGAAGTATAAATTACTGACCCGCCATCTAAGGTCCATTCTTTCACTTTTGTCTCCCAAACATTCGTCATACATGGAGAACATCAAGCAAAACATGATTAATAATAGCCTTGGAACCCCACAGCTGGAAAGCTTTCCAGTCGTACTGATAGCATCTTGTGTATATATGTGCATACTGGCTCCACTGCAATCATAGGAATGTGCTGACAGGTGAAAGAGAGTAAAGCAGCAATTATGTCCATTTGAGAGCTGAGACATTTAAATTGAGCACAAGTGTTTATAAGATCGTTACATTTGATGCATTTTTCCTTGAATACTTTTACCTTACAATGCAGATTGGTCCACCATCTGGTATTTGCACCCAGTGTAGGAACTACAACAGGCTACAGAGTGGTAATGGATGATTGCTGGACGAACTGTTAAATGATAATTTGACTCATTTTATTCCTGGGAACCAAATGGGGTCTAAATGATCTTCGCTTTCCATGCATGCTCTACACGAAATGCGATTCAACGGTTTCAAGTTGAACCCTATTGAAATTGTCTTGCATGCCACAGTAAGAGCCATGCCCAGATAACCACAGGTTAAGCTACTCCTCCAATGTCCATCTTAACATGACGAACCATTGCCTAACAAGTGTTTTCTATGGCTAAAAGAGTAGTGTTTCTATAAATTTTAAATTTTTTATTTTAAATTAATTTTTTTGATATTTTCAGATTAGTTTATTACACTATTTTAAAAATAATTTTTAAAAATAAAAAAATATTATTTTAATATATTTTCCAGTAAAAAATCACCATTTCACTTACCCTAACCCTTGAAAAAATAATATTATCATTCAGATTAAAATACCCCTGTTTGGAGAGTTTTCAAAATTTTTTATTTTTTTAATTATGTCAAAATAAACATTTTTTAAAAATATATTATTTTAATATATTTCCTACTAATACTTCTTTATGTCTCAAACACCCCTGATCTCATAGTAAAATAGGGTAGAGTGCCATTATAAGCAACATATTCCATCCATACCACAATCCATTCCCTTGTACATGAACACTTGAAAATGGTTAAAACGCGAATAGTACCTCAAGTAAACATGTTACATTCAAGCAGCTTAACGATAGAGACATGCTAGAAATTTTAGGACTCGGAATAGCACCAACTATTTATTCTCCCACGTTACTAAATTACGGTACAGTTTTGCGTGCAAAGTAACATGACACCAATGCCTACTGCAAGAACTCCCTTGGATCAGTGACAAAACCAGTCAAAGCAGATGCTGCAGCCGTGTAAGGAGAGGCAAGATATATCTGGCCTTCCTTGTGTCCCATACGACCAGGGAAGTTCCTATTTGTGGTCGAGACACAGACCTGTAATGACAAAGCCCTTGCAGCAGTTAACAGAATATCTGAAAATCATAAACGCCTCCCTCAATCTTTTCCCAGTCAGAGTATAACGCAGAAGTACACATGGTAGGCAACTATTAGCAATGCATAAGGGTAACTTCTAGTGGACTGGTAAAATAATCAACTGGATTTATATACCCGACAGTCTCGTCCACAGTGATTTGAGGGAAAGAAAGGGAAGAAAAAAGGTCAAGAAAAATGCTATTGTCAGCATTTCCCTTCAATTGTTCTCTGGAATCAGGCAAGGCCTCAACAAGCTAATAATCCAGCACGATATGTTCTAGAGCTTATTTATAGCAGAAATCAGGAAAGAAACTCTAGAAAGGCAGAATGGTTAACCTATACGTGTTACAAGATGTAGCAGTAGGAGAAAAAAATTAACTTACCATAGGCTCATTCATGCGAGCATGAGTGTCTTTAGGACCTCCCAAACAGGCACCACAGCTAGGACTCGCAGGCGTGTCACACCCAGCTTCTTCAAAAATCTGGGCGCAAGTCTTGCCACCAGATCCTGGTACTGGGAGAGTGTATACGTCCATCCAAACCTATAAATTTTATGATATGATTATGCAATGTTACATGTATAACAAAGTACTCTACAATTAATCCACGCATTTGAAGACAGTTAATAAGCACTGCAAACCTTTTGGGTAGCAGGGACGAGGAATGTGGGAACTTTGACCTTTTTACCCTGGACAAAAATCAAAAGGATAAATCAAGTCTGAGAAGAGGGATAGAACTCGAAAAATATTTTTCTTAGCTGTCTATGATCAAAACTACATATATTGAGCCATAAGTGGCTAACTTAGAACTCGAAAAAAGACTTCCTAGAAGATTCTAGATTCAACAAAAATACCAGACAACCACAGTAGGAACTGTACAGATTTATAAATATAATCCTAATAAAAATACCCCAATATCCATAAATTAAAAAGATGAAAAAAATTAAGCCCAGTCTAATTAGGAATCAATATCAACCAAACGACATGATACAATTTACACTTTTATTGACCATGGTTAAAATGCCAACACACATAAAACTTCTACCAAATCAAATTGAAATTATTATAGAAGTAAAAGCAAAATTTCTTCCTCAGTTGCTGCTTCAATTAACTCCATGCTGCGATGAAATAACAACCCAACAGTCCAGCAGCAATAACATCATGAAATAAATTAAATAGATATATGGGTCTTACAGAAGCTAGAAAAACTTTGGCTACAGCCATAAAATCCTCTGTTTTTCCACCAGTACAAGATCCAATATATACTCTGTCAATTTTGACATCTTTGCATTCTCTTGCTAAAGCACGATTGTCAGGAGAATGAGGCTGCAAAAATATAAGATTGCATCACTTTTTCAATGGTAAAAAAGCAATCTCTAAGAACTAAGAGATAATGACAGCTTTTGTGATAGAATCAATATAGGTCCGTCAAAGTTTTTGTCCCCCACTGTAAATATTGAAAAAAAAATCCATAAACTCAAACATAAAAAAAAAAAATCACCCACCTTTGCAACCAATGGCTCCAATTTTGAGATATCGAATCTGTACTCTGAAAGAAATCTAGAAGCCAAAGAAACATGCCATCACTATAAATGAATACCAAAATCATGACACAGAACTTCTTATCAATATTCTAGTAGTGACTACCTATTACAATAATAAAGTTAAAGTCATGATCCTCCAGAAAAAATAATATAGTGTTCAATGACCTTTGAGTTTTTTTTCAAATCAGTAAAAAAGTTTCTAAATGACCAAATTATGGCACTGACTGCCTGGAGTAAAATACAGCTATAGACAACCTTAAAGACAAAAAGTCAACTCAATATATATATATGCTCAATGCCATAACTTTAATTATCCATATCACATTATAAAATTTAATTGCTTTAGATTATTTAGTTAATGACTGATCATGATTATAGAAAAATTGATCCAAAATCTAAAAAGAATTTTGATATATGACCATTTTCCTATAAACAGTATATATATGAGAGCATTTTGTTTTATTTTTACAGATTCCATTATAGAGTCACCAGAAAACCAGATGAAGTAGAGACTCTTGATGACTATTTTCAGCTGGGAAAGCCCTAATTTACCACCCAAAAAACTCTATTAAAAATGATTCAATACTTTGATTGTCTAAGGTAGTTTCATCAGGCAGATTTTTTCAAAACCTTTTTCAAATTCCAAATGGAAAGAATGGAGAAACCAGTCAGTCAGTAATGTATTCTCAAAACATCATAGGGTAACTAAAACAATAAGTAAAAAAAGAACCCTAAGAACTTAAGAAATTAATTCTTGGAAAACATGTAGTTTGCACAAACCTACCTTGCTTGCGCGTCACTATAAACTGGTTCATATGGCAGAGTCGTTTTATCCTGTGCACAACAAAATATAACATTATAAACTCTTCCTAGGAAAAATAGCTGA